CAATTTGTAACTACAAATTCAGGGGGATTTGCTGTAATCTAGAGTGTTCAGACCACTGAAGCAAATCCTACCCCTGAGCATCAATTTCAGCTGAAGGTAAGTGAAGATGACTGAGTGTTGTCGAAGTGGATTAGTTCCTGACTAGTCTAATTCCATGTGAAAGTCTCAAAAGGGCTTCTAGTCTATCACCAGTCAAAGTCCTGCAACTCCAACTCTGATCCAGACTAGCCAAAAGTATTAGCTGTGTTACTGGTAGACAACCTCTGGCAGACAAAACCATTTCCCTGGTTAGAGAGACAGGGGCATCCACGGGTAAGAATCGTGAACCTTGACATGGTGAATCTCTCAGAGTCGGGAGATACCCCACGACATCAACCATGGCTTACAAAGTCACTTGGGTCAGGAAGGGCTGTACAATGAGTTACTATACACAGCTCTTTACCATGGGCCAGGGGTTGAGTTAAGGGTTTTTGAATTATTATTGCCCTACACCTATGGCATTGGTGGCATCTAAGCCAAGTATTGCCCAAAACCTATGAAGGTGAAGCTTTGGGCCAATACCACAGGTCTCTGTGAATGAGGCAAGACAGATTTTGCCCTCACTGTTTAAGGGAATGGTGAAAGAAGATCTGGTACATTTTCTAAAGCGTTTCAAGTAGATAACTGATTGGAAAGAATGGACTCAGCCCTTAATGCTAATAAAGATCTGAATGAGGAGCAATAACAGGATGACTAGAGGACAGTTTTTTACAAGCTGTGTCACTGATTTGACCAAATAAAAAATTGAGCAACTTATTAGGCCAAATTGGAAAAGGAACTGCATCGAGGGGCTGGCCATCTACACAATCAATCTGTGATGATTGCATATGAATACTTACCTCAAAATGATATCAACATATAAGGAAGACATGCTTATGAATAAATCAATTGGGGACCTTCCCAATGAAGCTATGAGGCAATGATTGAGTATTAGGGACATTCCCACTCTTACCAAACAAGTTTCCATAGCAGCACAGTATGAATTGGTATCTTTAGGCCAATTATTAGGAAGGAAAACCTAATGCAACAACTGCTGTGGCTAAACCTCACTCTAGCCAACTTACTCGGGTGTGTTAATTACACCAGGCTAAATCCATACTGAAAGTCAACCAGCTAATGCTACTGAAAACTAGTAGATCTCAAATTGTATTTGGCCATTGACTTGAAAGCTACAGCAGACAGCTTATATCAAAGAGTTTAGTGGTTAGCTCAGCTTTAATAGGGCTAAGTGGAGCTTGGTATGTATCTATGATGGTACAAGAGTAAGAAATTGAATTACTGGTACATCCAGAAATGGCCATAAGAAAACATGTGATGTGGGATGGGAAGAAATTTATCAGCTATGTTGATGTTGGTGCAGATACAATAAATGGTCTCTTACATCGAGTTGTATCTTTGTTTGGTGATGTTTGTTAACTAATTTTCTGTTTCTACTGGAAAGGTTTTCCAAAATAACTAACTAGAACGTCTCATTGGACTATTGTAATATTTTGACATTGGATTTCTGGAGTTGAAAAAATCAAAAAGTCTATCAAGTGTTCTTATAAACTTGACCGTGGTCTCACTTCCTTTAAACCTAGGCGAGCTCAAGTCTATGTTGCCAAGTTATTTGTCATCTGCCACACTTGAACTTCAAGTTTGTGTTGCAAAGATAACTTTAATTTTTTGCGTAATTTATTTCCTTGGTATAAGTCTTCTTGTTCTTGCAATTTGTGCAAATCAGTAATGAGTTACCATTTAATACATTCACCATCTCCGCTTTTTACAATTTGTTCATATGCAAAAGTGTTTCGAATGAGCCTTTAGCATGTGGCACATATCAAGTATGACATAAATTTTTAATTTTTTATTGCCAGAGTGGAAAATCATGACTGTAAGGTTTCTGATGACATATTGGCACCCAGTTCTTTCAGTATGGAAAAGTGTCAACTTGAAACATTGTAAACGAGTGCCACTGTTCTAATATCATTCTCTGATAGTTTCTGTAGGCATATGTTCATCAAGTTTGTTCATTCTTGTTCTGTCATGCCAATAATGAAGAAATAGACAAAAAACACCTTCCAGTTGCTGTTTAGAGAAACAACTATAAACATGAATACATCACTGGGAAGAAAAGTTATATTGCTTGTACTTTAAGGTGACGTTTGGTTCCACTATTATAAGAGGTCTTACAGCATGTGAACACACGGTCATATCTATAAAAACTGGAAGAAAGGTTACAAACCCTTCCAACTCCACTATCTATCAGCACAACACAGAAACAGGACATCTTCAACTTGAATGTTCTCTCAACAGCCAAACACGATTGATACAGAACTTGCAATTTGTGGGTTCGAATCCCCGTCTCACCAAACATGCTCGCCCTTTCAACCGTGGGAGCGTTATAATGTGACGGTCAATCCCACTATTTATTGGTAAAAGAGTAGCCTAAGAGTTGGCGGTGATGACTAGCTGCCTTCACTCTAGTCTTACACTGCTAAATTAGGGACGGCTAGCGCAGATAGCCCTCGTGTAGCTTTGCGCGAAATTCAAAACAAACAAACAAAAACCTCTAGATTACTGATGATGGAATTTTGAAGATTCCGAAACATTTAATAAATCTTCCTATTATCACGTTCATGTTTTGCTTTATCATTAAGTTACGTTTTCCAAAAAAATGAGTCGATTACCATTTATTGGGTATTTAATTGCAATCAAATCTCTGAAGCTATTATCTGAAACTGTCATCATATTCACCCTTCTTGAAGTATCTTTTGATATCAAAATTAAGTATGATCACTTGGAACTTTTATCTGCTGTTAAATCAACTTCCAGTTGTAATAGCATCCCTACTGCTGAAAAGTTCGCAGCTGTATATAAAAGACTGCTCATGCGCCATGAAATACAAACAGCAGGAAACTGCATTGCCTAGGACGAAACATCAACTCTACATGGCACAAAAGATCACATGACACTTTCTAGTAGTTCAGGGTACGTATTAGACTTGTATGTTATATGCAGGTATGATTTTGAAATTCTTAGGCCTATACAGGATGACCATAGTTACGAAGATGCACCAAATGGAAGGAAGCAGTCGTATGATACATGACTGGTTATGTAGTCAAAATAGCACAAAAAATGTATTGTTTAGAGGCTGGGACGTCGCTAGGCACTGGCACAAGAGGCCCGTGCCCCAAATCTACAGTTGATGTCTTGAAAAATCAGAATAAAAAAATCATGATCCATATCATACTGAAACGCCGAAAAATTCCGCGATTTCTAGAACTCAGCGGAAAGTGCTAAAGTTGGCGGTTTTTAGTACAAGGCGCGGCGAAGGCGGAGCCTCACTTTTCTTGCGCAAAAAGGAGAATTATCATTGGTCAAGTTAGGCTTTTACGTCATCAAATTGCGTTTCTGCGGATGCAGTAAAAGATAATTTAGTAGAACAACCTGGAAACATGATGAAACTTCTATGATCTTACATAAAAAAGAATCTCAGCTGTCCATTAGGTCTTCTTGTCAAGCGAAAAATTTGGCAATTAACTGCATATATCTATGTGCTTTATTTTGTGTTCTCGCGAGTAGGAATGACTGAAAACTGGTGCAGTATAGAAGCCATTAGTGTGGTATTGAAAGGACCGTTGCTGTTGTTTTTGTTTTGTTTTACCCTAATCATTTATAAGGACACAACACTAACCTCAGCTGCACTGAATCATTATTGATATCTCCTATATCAGAAGCTTCAAAAGCTGCACTGAAATCCATTTGTCCAACACTTGATGCCTCTGCCACTGTTTCCTTACTGGAGTCTTCCTCTGCACGTGACAGATGGCTCTGATTGAGCTGCTCTGCATTCTCTCGCGGATGCTACTATGATGCAAATTAATTGGAATAAATTGCCTGATATATTTTCTGTTTGAAGAAGGAGAATTAAACACTCAATTAACAAGGCATTGAAATGAACAAAATTAAACATTCAAATTCGGGTTTTTACTGATCAAAGCTACATCCTAATTTATTAAACAATACTATGTTCTAATTTACTAAACAGTAAACACCATACTCTAATTCACCAATCAATTAATTTTATCAACACTATACACTAATCATTTTAATAACCAGCCAACCAGTGTCGTAGCCACGGGGGCGCGAAAGGGCGCAATGCGCCCTCTAAAAATCTGCCTTAAAGAAAAGAAAATAATGCCTCTTTTTACTTTTTTCGAACTTGAATAATTCCAATGTACTCATGTATAAAAATATTAGGTAACCAAAGTAATAGTTGCTGTAAATCAATATTTATAAAATAAAATATATTTGTACTTATGCTTTCGGCTTTTGTGTTTTTTATCGCATCGATGGCTGCATACCGCTAACGTGGATTATTAAGATTCGTCAGATTTCAAATAAATTGTTGTTGATCAATGCAACGTTAATCATTCATTTATTAATAAAATAAGAATTATAACTGAATTTTAGACAACGTGTTGCTTTTTACACAAAACAAGAGCATAGTTGAATACACTAAATTATTCGTGTTGGAAATCAATTATTGCGCAAGAAGGGAACTGTATGCACTCATACAATATGAAGTTGGTGATAAGAAGTACACAATAAAGGTGGATGAAACTCGTGATAAGTGCAACCATGAAAATCTGTGCTTATGTGTGAGGTACTTACAAGATGGAAATATTGTTGAACATCTACTTGCAGTTATTCAAGTTTCCAGTTTTAACGCACACTCCTTGACTGACTCAACATAGCAATACTTCAAGAGCATAGCTTCAGTTTGGAAAACGTTTTTAGCCAATACTATGATGGAGCTAGTGTGATGTCGGGACGATCTGGGGGTGTTTAAAAAATTCTCCAGGAAAGACTGGGCCGATCTGTCCCCTACGTGCACTGCCTAAACCACCAGCTACATCTTGTAGTTGTGCATGCGATTGTTGCAGACGTTGACATGGACGCCTTTTTTGGCACTTGACATGGAAGTCTTTTTGGGCACTTGCAACATCCTGTACAACTTCATACGTAAGCCAACTGTGTCTGTTCACTACACTGGGCAAGCACTGAAACAACTGTTGGAACAGCGGTGGACTGGTCACCTAGCTGCTGTAAAAGTCATCACTGGATCACATAAAGCTATCTTGACGATTCTGTCGGACATTGCCACAAATGAGAATAACACATTCTTACCTGAATTAGTGGTGGAGGCAATCGAATTGTTGAAGCTGATAAAAAATAAACCCTTTCTAATCCATGCTGTAGCTGTCAACAAAGCATTGAGTATACTAGCACCTGTCAACATTCATCTACAATCAGTCAGAATAAATATGATGCAAACCTTGATGCTAATATCAACTTCGCGAGCATCCATTGCTTTGTTGAGAACTGATGAAATATTTACCACTTTGCTGGATGAAGTTAAGCTGATTCTGCAAAATACTATGGGTGATGATAACAGTGTAACAGTACAAGACCATCAGCCTGCGGAAAAGAGAAGACTTCGTGAAAACTCTGGTTTCAAAGACAACATTGTTGACCATCTGCACAGAGATAACACCAATTTGTCAGAAAATAATAACCTTAAACGATCGTGGTTCTGTCTAATTGACAGAGTCCTGGTTGAGCTTGATGAACGTTTCTCGAAGAAAAATTCGCATCTTATTCGTGCCATGGAGTCACTAGATCCCGAATCAAAACATTTCTTTGACAAAGTCCGAATGGGATTTCTCGCAGACTTGATCAGCCTTGAAATGGACAGCTTTGTTTTGGCTCAAATTGGTGTTGCCAAAAAATACATCAGTGATCACTGGAGAAAAAACGACAAACATAACCTGGTGTCTGTTTTGCAACAGCTCTTCCATTTGAAATGGAAGTGCTTTCCAGCCATTATAGAACTGTATGAGGCAGCATTAACAATTGGATCCTCAACTACGACACGTGAAAGAGTTTTTTCTGCTCTGACAAATGTGCTTACGGACCTCCGTCAGTCGATGTCTCATGAAAGACTGGTGAACTTGATCCTCGTCGGGTTTGAGAAGTGTATCCTTGATGATATATGTCAGAGTGCTGATGGGAAGCATAAGATATTGAGAGACTTCAATTCTATTCAGAATAGACGATTACAGTTGTTTTAATAATAAAATTTGGACTTGATTTACATTGCTTTAATTAATTACGAGGATCCAATCAACTTTCCCTGAGACCGACTCGTGCTTTCTGTTTTGATTAACCTACCAGTTCATACCTAACTTAAGCTCTTGTTATCAGATATCAAAGATTTTTCATGAGTGAATTCGTTTATGAATTAATAAGGAAGATCAATAAATGATAACAAAAATCTATAACGAAAGCTGAAAATGATTACATTGTACTCGCGCTCTTTGAGTTTGCCATTGCGCCTTCAATGTGTGCGTCCTGGCTACGACACGGAAGTCAACCAACAATTATCAACCAATAATAAGACGCATCAAAATACCCTGAAAACACTAAATAAACTAAGTTAAAATTTCACACTTAAAATGAGCTCACAAATTCGTATCGAATAATTCAAATATGCAAAGCAAATATCAAATTCAGAAAATGGTTTAGCTAGGAAAAAGTCGCGAGAAATTCCGCATCAATTGTTCATAAAATAGAGAATTAAATGGTACGTCTCACGTCAACACATCAAATCCATGGTGAAAAAACGACCTTCGCACAAACAAAAATTCAGCACTCCAATCCAGGTTGATGTTAACAACACAGCACCACTTAAACCGACAATGCGCATGAATTGTTAAGAGAGGGTTAGATTGCTTTAGAGAGCATGATTGGGCAGCAGTTCATAAGGCAAATATGTCCACTTGGGCGGCCTTCAGAGACGGGAAAATGCATGGCGATATAATGAAAAGTTACAAGCAGCAAATGAAAATGAGATAAGAGAAAGATGAAAGTATTTAAAGCTCATTGTTGGTGTCACACAATTTCTTGGGAAACAAGGAATACCATTTAGAGGTCACAATGAAACTGAAGAAAGCTAAAACATGGGAAATTTTATTGAGTGCTTGAATTTACTGACAAAATTTAACCCATTTCTTTAAAATTACAAAGTACCAGCTAGCTATAGTTCTCATTGGCTGGAATGAAGCTATTCAGCAGAACAAATGACATGCAGCATATTCAGTGAATTGAAAACACGAGGAATGTATGTGACAGAAGCATTGCTAGGCACTGGCACAATGGACCCATACTCCGATTCTAGTTGACAGTGCCCGGAATCTCCAGTTGATGTCTTGAAATATTAGAATAGAAAACCAATTATCAACATCATACTGAAACGCCGAAAATTCCCATGCCTATGAGCTTGAGCCCCGAATCTTCTGAGCACTTAGCGACGTCTCTGATATGCTATAATGGCAAATGAAGCAAGAGACAAACATAAGGAGCAGTTAGCCTTCTGTGTACGGTATGTTGTTCCATAAACTAGTTTAGTGAAAGAGCATTTTCTGGGATTCAGTAAATTAAATGATTTTAATGCAGATGCAATCACGAAATCAATACAACAAGTTAGACAATCTTCAATGTGTAACACAAACATATGATGGTGCAGCTGTTATGAGTGGAATAAGTAGTGTCTAATTGACCAACCCAACCTGGTGCTCTACCACACATTTAAGTCAATCAAAGAAGCTGCTGATTTTTTAAT